CAGAGTGGTTGTACCAGATGACCCACTGTGGTCCCTTCTAACTTGACGGATTCTGTGATTCTGGCCCTTGACAGGGGCCAGACCCACACCTTCTGCCTTCATGTCTTGAGCTTAAAGATTGTATCTGTTCAGAGTAGAGTCAAGTTGTTCAGCTCTTAGAAATTACCAGACCCACATTAACTTCTGTATGTTCCCAAATATCTGTTTTTTGCCCAGTGTCTCTGAAGGGCCCTACCAGCAGCCTCCACCAAGGCTGGGATGAGGCTCTGCTGAGCTCAGTGGGACTGTGCCATCGCACAGCTGACCCAGGGCTCCTTCAGGCCTCTTCCTTATTGCTATTGCAGATGGCTTTTTCCCCCAGATGTGATACTGAAGTTGGCCTGTGAGGAAGAGCATATGAAGATGATGGTGAGGAAGGAGGTGTTTGAACTCTTGAAAATCCCACAGGAGCTTGTCCACTTGAAGGACCAGGCATGCAAGGTCTCAGAAATGGAAGAAGAGGGTGAGCTGTATTTTGCAGCCACGCTCACAGGTGAAAACCACACTGCCTGTGGATCAATAATCCAGGTAAGGATCCAGCAGAGCCTCTCTGCATAGTTCTGAAGCCATGAGAGAAGCAGACATGCTGAGTGGGGGCAGCAAGGGGAAGCCCTGGAGGCTTTTTCTTTTATATCTGGGTGGTTTAAAGCTTTCGTTCCCCTTGGAAGGCTTCCCTGGGGGCTGTCAGAAAGCTCTTCTGCCTCCACCAAACCCCTGCTGGCAGCACATTTTGTCTTGTTTAGCAGAGCATGGAAGTATCAGTGTGCACTTCACTATCTGATAACAAGTCTGAATTCTGCGGCCCTGGCCCCGGCCCCTTGGTCTCTCACTTGTTTCGTGATCAAGGAAGGTGCAGAGGAAGCAGTGCTCTAGTTCTGCATTGCACAGAAGGCCCTCACTTGTGCTCACTATGCTGATTCCTGCCTGCTCCAGCAATGGCTACCAGCAGTCCCCAGGCACAAGGCTTGAGCTAAAACCCCAGCAAATATCCAAACCTGGAGATTTGTAGCTGAGCTGCACCTTCTGAGCTGGAGCTTGGAGCTCTGTGTATGGGTTTAGACATGGTCTGGAGACTTGGTTTCTGTGTCATTCCAGCAAAACAACTCCCACGTCTCCTACTCCAATGTCATTGAGTCAGAGCAGGAAGTCCATGGGGCAATGATCTCCCGGAGTTTTCAGCTGGAGGTGCATTTCTCCTGTGTTTATGCCTATGAGCAGGTGGTGAGACTGCCCTTCACGCTGACTGCTGTTGACAAGTGAGTGGTCCTGTTTCACCTTGCTGCTGGTGTCTTTGAGCTCGCAGAAAAGTAGATACCTTCAATACCTCTTTCCTGCCTTCTGTTTGTGAGTTATCATCCTCTCCTTTCCTCTCCTCTCAGGTTGGTGCAGTTTGTGGTCAGGGAAGGATACTTCAACGTCAGCATGAGACTGTACAAATCTCCCTCCTACCTCCAGCCTTATCACCCGCTGACTGCA